AAAAATGTTTTAAAAACAAGAAATGAATTATTATATTACTCCCTCTGTCCCACTCTTTTTGTCCACTTTCATTTTTGCACACCATTCAATGCACTTCTTCAATCCATTTTATCTTGTAATTTGTATATTAAAAAATTATAAAAATTATATATTAATAATCTATATGTTAAGACAAATCAAACAAGATCACACATGACTATTTTTAGACTTACACATTGAGAGAATTTGATGAGTCAAAGTGCTTAGATGAACAGTTCCAAAAGTCAAAACTGGACAAAAAGAGTGGGACGGAGGTAGTATTTTAAAAGTAATAAAAATTGGCAAAGCACAAAGCAAAATATGTGAAGAAGTAGAACAAAGCAATGCCGAGGAGGAAAAATGGTAAGGCAAAATCTGATGAGTGGAGATAAATTAGGGGTTGTGGAGTAATAAAAATTTTTCCTAAACTATAGCCGTAAATAATGGCTAATTAACCCATAATTATGAAAATAATATATTTAGAGATAAAAACTAAAAAACTGCAAAGGGGCGTTGGTTTTATCCACACAAGTGGTCGTCTATAATTTAGGGGTAGGAAAGGAATTTTTTTAAAAAATACTCTTACAAAAGGAAAAAAACATTATTCGTCCCATATAAGGAAAACTTGTATCTTTTAGTCTTATACACAACAAATTTTACATAAATATAATCCCTTTGTTCATTTAAAAAAACAATTGTTGCTCACATTCACATAAATTATATTTAAGATATATATGGTATATGTTTTTACCTTTTCTGTCCATTAGCTTTTGATGCATGCCAAACTTTGATGTAATTTAAGGAAATCTTTACTTTTATTTTATTTACTTTTTTGTGTACAAGAAAAAGTTAAATTGACCAATTTGATCTATTTGTTTTATCTATTTTTTATTATTAAAGTAATAAGGAAATTTCATATGAATATTCAAGAATTTGGTTTCATTTTAGACACACACACACATATATATGATTCAGTATAGAAACCATATATATATTCACTTGTCATAAGCAAAAAGACTAGGACCAACGTAATAAATCAGGATATAATAGAATTGAGACCAGAAAAGATGAGGTTTAAATGTTCAACGGTAAACAATGCAATTTTAAACTTACGATCCCAAATGTGGTATGCTTTTCGTGACATCTCCTCCGGCAAGAGTAAGTGACGATAACTCTCTAGCGGGGGTAGAGAATCTCCGGTGCCAGAAATAAACACTAAAAATAGTAAACACAAAAGAAATAAAATGAATGGAAAAAATTAATAAATCCAAAAACAATTTTATTTATTCTCTTTTAAAAAATAGAATCCCTAATTTGAGTAGAAATATGTTAATGTTAAATAAAAATAAAAGTGTAATTAGCGCATATGTTACGCTCTATACTCATCGAGTTAGAATGAGGAGTAGAACGCTACACATAACTTTAATAAGCTAAGCAAGATCCATATTGATTTGCATTTGGATATATAGCTCAACTGCCTCTACTCCATAAATCAATGATTTAAGAAAGAATAATATGATTTCACTTGTGGACTAAAGCAGTAAAGCTTGCAACTCTTGATCTTTTCATTTTTGTTGGATGAATATTATTTGTACAACCATGTCAGGGTACACCAGAAAGTATACCCCAATACAAGTTGTATTCAAATAAATAGATCGACACTTTAATGTTTGATACTGGTACAAAATTTAAGTTCAATTAAAAAAATTTGTACTGACATTTATCGGTTATGTAAATCATCACACTAGCACAAAATATCAATGCATGTTTTTGAGGTACAAAATAAGATACTACGTACAAATTTTGGTGTACAAATAGCTTAATCACTGAAACAATGATTTCATCGGACTTGAGTTTGGCCCCTACTCAACAATCCGAAAAATGATTTTTTTTAATGTAAAATTAATTTTTTTAAATATTTATTTGTATTATCAGTTAATTAAAGGGTTATTTATTTTTACTTTTACAACAATTTTTTTTTTGAATTTCTTAAATTATGGAGTAACATCCATACAACTCTATGAGTGAACAACGGGCAGTCACTCCCCTTCGGCCGTCTTCCTAGATTACTGCTCCGCCAGCTTCCCTGTGTCTCCACCGCCCGGCTCGCTAGTCGCCCCTGCCGCTAGGTCATGACTTTCTCAAATCAGTTTTTTTTTTTTCATTTTGTTTAGCAAACTAAATACCCTTTGCGTTTTTTTTAAATTACAAGGCATTTACTCCGTAATAAGTAGGATTCATGATGTGACAATTTGTGATTTGTGAATTTTCCAAGTATGAAGTATGACATTGTCATTTGTAATCAGATTAATTTTCATATGATTGCAATTTACACGAAGGTTTAACTATTTTATTGATTTAATTAGCAAATTTATAACTAAATCCAACTTTATTAATGTTTCGAATTTGAATTTCGGATGAAAAGATATTTCAAAAATAAACCAGTATTTAAAGAACTTTAGTAAAGAAAGAATCCTAAAATGTTAAACACAATAGATTACTGAAGTGTAAACTAGTAGCAAAATTGGTTTGTAGGAATCTTTTAGGCCCCTTTTGGGGGTGTTTGGACATAGTGAAACAAGGTTATTGTTTGAAGACTGAAGTTACTTTTAATGCAGTAATACCATTATTGGCCAATTTGAATTATCCCTTGTTTATTATGAATTTGAATTATTTTATTTGTTAGACCAGCATACAATGAAGATTTTGTTTCTTTCAATTATAGGTTCAGAGGTAGAACTTCTGGGATTTTTGTACTGTGGGCAGTGCTTGCTGTTAAAGCTTGATTTTTCTCAATAATTTGGCAATATTACTAAAGGCTTCATCCCGCCACTATAGAAAGCATATAAAAGCAGAGGATTGATCATTGATCACAACTTATTTGACTGGGACTTACTTTAATTGATATTCTTGAATATAAACATGAAATAATGATAAGGGTTGTTAGTAAACAAATGAAATAAAAATTTTGATCAATTTTGGAAATCATGGGTTAAAGTTTAATACTAAAATAATTACAATTTGGAAATCTTGGTTTAACGTTTATTGCTCAAATAAAAGTTTTGGGTACCTTGCAATAAAAATGGAATCATTGTTTTCAGTGTCTTGCAGTGGAAATGAAAAATTGCTTACAAATCTGAATGTAAACCTGACTTTGAACTCTGAAACATAACCTGATATTTTAGACAATTAATATGAAAAGCTACATAGTTCTTACTAAAAGCTGATCAGAGTAGATTTTGAAATGACTCAAATGAGTATTTAAAATTTTTCAAGCAAGTTTCACGGAATCGCTTTCTTAAACATACCAATACACACACTTAGCAAACTTGATTGACTAATTTATTTGAACGTTTATTTCACATTTTGACCTTTTTTTAAAAAATAAGGTGTTATCGAAAGTAGACAATTAGGCCAAATGATGGAGTGTGAAAAGATATCCAGATGGAGAAAAAAATGGTAGAATGTTTAGGCATAATTATAGGATTGTGATGTTGATCTTCCCATGTACTACGTATTTATCAAAGTTTACATCAGTTTTCTTTTAATATCCAAAACTCATCAGTTCCCTTTTATGATGCTGTTCTTCCAATATGTTTATCAGAGTGTCCACACCCCTTCCTTTTTCGATTTCCCACTGCGTTCCCTAGCTCAATTCCACTTCGTCTGCAGCTCTGCGCTAGGTCCCGGCGCTTGGTGTCGTTTCAAGGAAGTGAAGGAACTTCTCACGATCATAACTTGTTCCTCATCAATGTCAGTTGATTACGGGTGTTCATTTTTATTGTTTGGTAATATATTAGAGATATTTACTCAACAATTTTGCAATAATCTGATCATTTGTTTCATTTTGTATCCCTATTAACAGATGCACCGGTTGAATCCCAAAACCCCTCTCACTTGCATTTTCTGTTGACGCAGGTTCCTTATATGTTTGAAAGATGAGGCATTTGAATCTAGTTTTTAATTCTTCTCAAAATCCCTCATACATGTTTTTTTCACTTTATTCTTTCCCCAGCTTTTGGTTGATTTTATCAGTTCAATGTATCAAGTGGTTGTGCACTCAGGATTTTCCTTTTTATAGATTACAACTCCTTTACCTTGTAAGATGGGATTTTTTCATTTATGTTTGTATTTTGATTTGTACATATACTTCATATATATTGCTTTCATATAGTGAGATAGATGGTTTGTTAGTTTAGTCCTACATGTTGATTTGAAATCAGGCATTTGGATTTTAGATTTAATTTCATTAATCATTATATGTTTGTGTAGGGCTCTTTGATCATGAACTTCTCACATATTTTTGTTTTTGGTCCAGCCACATAACAATTCCATATTTGCACATTTTCATTTCCTCATTCTTTGTAATCTTAGGATATTTATTTTATTACTGATGGCATACTGAAAGATGCTTTTAGACTACATAGTCACCCCAACTTAATTTTGGGCTGCTAGTTTTAAGTTTGAGAGTAAATTCAGATTTAGGCTACCTATGCCTTTACTATTGAATGCCTCTTTTGTTTAACTAACCTTTTCACTATCATGTCCTTCATTATGATCCAAAGTAAGTTCATAATCATGTTCTTTCCACAGGTTCAACGTAGGTGCAGTCACTCTTTTGAACTTCTCAATGTCTCCAACGAGCTTCCTCATCCTATTCGCTGACCAGGGTGTCAAGAAATGGACGGTTTTAGAAACTCCCAGATTTTGACATATGTTTTAAAATGCCCCCCCCCCCCAAAAAAAAAATCTTCATATTGAGGTAAGATGTGACTATCACCGCCTAAATAGACTTACAGTAACTTTCTCTGACCGAGGTCTGATGTAGAAACCTTTCCATCACACCTTAGTATCTTTGCTTTGTCAGAACTTGTAAACTACAGCCAAACCTATGACCATGCATGTGTGTGTCTAAGGCTCTAATCATGAGCTTCTAACATCTCTCTCCCTGTGATTGGTTCAGTCACATAAGTCTTTATTTTCTTGCGTATTGTTTCCTCCATCTCCGATGGAGCCAAAGATTCACTAATTTTTTGGGCTTTGGGGTATGATGGAATAAAGTAAAATGACTCTTTTAATAGTGAAGTAGCGGTTAGTCAACACAACTTTCAATGCTCATCATGGGTCATCTGGAAACAGCCGCTCTATGTTTTAAAGTTTCAACATAGGGGTCAAGCTGCGTACATCCGAGCCCCCTTTACCCAGCAAAGGGCTGGAGCCTTTGAGGCACTGGGGTAATGTTGTTGTTGTTCTTGATGCTGTTTTCTAATTATTCACAAATTTCATAGAATGCAGAATTATATTCTGTTTTATTTTGAAAACCTGAACACAAGTGACAAAAAAATGTGTTTCCAAATGCAGCAGATTAGCTAAAAGTAAAAACTTGTTAGGTTCGTTTAGAACGTTTCCATTCATTCTTCTGGTTTAACATTTGTAGAAGCATCACACATTGTAGAGAAGTGAATTTAATCAGGAGTAATTTAAATTTTATATATGTGTCTAGCATGATGTTGAAACTTGGTTCTTGTAAATGTGCTTTATGAATTGCATCTACTCATATCAATTTGATTTGTAGCCTTTACATAATAAGCATATATGTTACGTTGTTTTGGCCATACTTAAACTTAATGCAAATCTGAACAGGTACGAAGGTCAGCGTTAGATGCTCTACGCCTTTACACAACCAGACATTCAACCTAGACCAAGTTGTATTTGCTTCTGAACAGGTCAAAGCTGCACAGCAAACAGTATGTTTGACGAGCCTCGTGCGATTTTTTCTTATGTGTTTGCAAAACATACTTGTGAATTCTCATTTCCTTCATTTTGTGTATAAATTACTCAACTACTCAAGCATGAAGATTATGTGTATAATTAAAATATCTCCTGGGGTAGTCAAAATCCATTTAAGAGCTCAACTTGTGGGCCCGTGGCATGTGTAAAATATACGGGATAGTAGCATGTTTTAACACAATGTTATGAAGAGAGCCATTGTTTCAACCTTGATATATTGGGAAATATTGTGAAAAGAAACTTAAAAAAAAGGTCACATACACCTTATTCAACCAGATTACTATTGGGACACATGTTACATTTTTAATAGATATCTACCTATGTCTATTTGAAATATTGTATGGAGTATTAAATATAGTTCTCTCGATGTACTTACTAAAATTATGAAACTAAACTTTGCAAGGAAAATCATATTCTTTAACCTAATTGAAACCTGCTGTCTGCCTCCCTAGGGACCTCCCTAGAGGTAGGACAATAATCCATTTGTTCTGTGAAAAGAATTTCACGATGTTTTCTCTTTTTGTTTCTCCAGGTGACATGCAGCTTTGAAATCAGCAAATAAAGAATTGAATGGAATGATGGAACTGTGAAGATTCACGACATCGATGTAGGTATCTCTTTTGATCCTATACTTTACATTCTCTCGCATTCTTGCATAACAAGTGAGTAGTACAATATCATTCATAACCGGGAGTTTGATGCATACAGAACTTGCAAGATGAAATGATGGAGCTGATGGATCGATGTTAGTAACAAAATTTGAGAAACCATTGGTAGAAGCTACAATGTTCCTGATGACATTGATGAGGAAGAGCTTCTGGGTGGTAAGCAAGCATAGATGCCCAGTTAGATATGCTGTTTAATTTGAGGATGAAATCCAACCATTTTAATCAACAGTTTCATAGGAACATTGTTTTTAAGATGTATTTTTTGTTACTTGGAGAATACTGCAAGGAATAAATACTGCATGTTTGTTCTTCTATGTTTTCCAATTTTCAATTAAGAGAGTGATTGTGAGCCTGTTTGGCAATGATTATTTAGCTGAAATGGTTGATGGGTAAGGTCTGCGTACACATACCCTCCCTAGACCCTACTCTTTGTGGAATTGTACTGGGTTGTTGCTGTCTTGTTTTGGATGAATTGCTGGAATTTTCTGAGATAAAAAGTGTTTGGTAACATCCATTTCTGCTAAATAATGAAAGCCAAGAGTCCAAGACCTACCTATTATATATGCGTCTTCACACTTGAGAAGCTGAATTTGCCCATTATAAGACTCAAATGGGCCTAAACCTATGGTTTTTTTTAAATAATGGAGACAGTTGTGAGACAAAATGCATTTTTTTGGTGCCATCATTTTGACTTTGGTGCAGAGTTTGATGCATTGGCAGCGGACATGGAGAGTGAAGGGCACAGAGTCCCTTCATACCTCAAGGCTTAAGCCCGACAAGGAGAGTGAAGCTGATAAAATGTTGGGTTCAGAGTTTAACCTGCCTGCAGCACCAACTTCGCCATGCATGCTCCATTCCCAGTTAACACTGAGGTATGAAATATTACCATCTCTCTTAAAACCGAGAGTCCACTCTTTGTGATAGGGACACTTACTAACATGTTTGGCCAATAGAAAGTCCACTTTTTTTTTTTTGTCGAAACTTTCATTTTGAGTTCCAAACAATCTCTACAGACCTATGTACTAAAAGACGTGCAGACTCTTTTCTAAATTCTAATTTTCCGTACTAACTTAAGATCAATGTTCTTATATAATATGAAAATATGATAACTTAAATTTAAGATGTGCACACATTGAATCATGGCATGTTTTAATTTTTGGAACTTATTTTTACGTTTGTTGTGAGTTGCATACGGTTGTCTTTTAATCTTTTATTTTATATAAACAGGTGGGAGAGTTTGGCACCCCTTACAATAATGTCTCATATTTTGATATTTTCACTCTTTTAATCTTGTTTAGGGAGTTCTCCTTTGCTTAATATTATTGTTGAAAATATGTAATGAAGTTGTGCACTATATGTGAGAGCACCCCATGAAGCAAAGTGGAAGCCCAGAAAATACGTATACACTAATGTTATTCTCATACATGTAAAAAATACGTATACACTAATGTTATTCTCATACATGTAATATAAAGTGATGTGTGCGTTTAATGGAAAAAAAGAAGAAAAGCAATGTGTCCACTAGCTAATTCTATTTTTGTAAAAGGGAATAACTTGGACAAATAATGTGCCTGAGTGAATTTTTGGCAATGGGGGCTCATTTGGGCACGGTAATATTCCATTGCAGTTTTTAAATTGTTATTGAACTTTATTTTTTATACTAAAATAATTTTAATAGATTTTACCACATTACAAATTGCAGTTAAACATGCCAAATTTTGATTATCAATTGAATAAAACTTGCATTACATATAAGTATATTTTGCAAAATATTTTTAAAAAGTTATTTTATTTTATTTAAACTACTCTAATACAATAAAAGAAACTTCTGGCTTGAGATAGACCTGTATTGGATCTTCTGCTTACTATGTAACTAATTATAAACTCATGAGTGATACTTTTTTTTATTTTGTTTTCCATTTCTTTAACAAAGCCTCTAATTTTCCTACTCATAAATGTATAAACAGAATAAAACATTATATAATGCATGGTTTGCATGAAAAATAAGAATTAATCTCACATCATCATATCTTTATATTATATTGTGTGTGCATGTGTGTGCGAGTGAGCTGAAAAATTTCAGGCTTAATTAAATATAATCTTACTACCTTACTAAGCTAATTCTCTGTAAGTGGATGTCCACACACACACACACACAGAGTACATTACTCATATAGGCACATGATAGTCCATTTCATCTCTTTAAAAATAGAAGTCCTTCATTGGTTAAGCAATTCAGCACATGCATCAAGTGTACTGATCATACCTATATATACATTCGTATCCTCCATTGTGTGTGTGTGTATATACATACATACATACATATACGAAGTAAGTGATTCGTTTTGTTATATATAGACACAGTCTAGTTAGAAATACTCTATGCAACTTAAAACTTTTGAGTTATTTACAGCTATATTTGTACAATTGTATGTACTTTTTTAGGTGCGGAGAAGTTGAGACGGGGCTACTTTTGGACGAGGGCGGGGTGAACGGCTTACTTGGTCTGGGGCACACGCCATTGGATGTGACGACCCTCTTGTCGTCCCAAGGGCTGATCCGGAACTCATTTTCCATGTGTTTTGCACACGATGGGAGTGGTCGGATTGCCTTTGGGGACAAAGGGGATTCGGACCAACGGGTTACCCCATTGGAAGGTGGACGCGAAAGGTAACTACGACGATGTGACATTTATTTATTTATTTTTGGTCATGACCCTTTCTTGTTACTAAATCTATGTACAAAACCGGATGGATGGATGCAGTGCACACTACATCGCACGCGTAGATCGAGTCTACGTGAATGATGTAGTGGCGGATGTTGGGTTTGATGCGGTGTTCGACTCCGGCACGACTGTCACCTACTTGGCCGGAGAAGCATATGCCACGGTCACAAAGATTGTGAGTATTATATATATATATATGACACTACACTTATTTGTATAGATAGATCTTCACCTTAGCTTCTTTATGACTAATGCATTATTTAATGCCCTTTGCATGCAGTTTGATTCTCTTGTGAAGGACCCACGCGTTGAGCTCATCATAGACACTTTTGAGTATTGTTACGCTCCAGGGTGAGTTGATTATTAATTAATTATTCACATTATTTAGACTGGATTTAAATTTATTTATTTACCTTCATTGCAGGGCTAATAATACCCCTTCTGGGATTCCAACTCTGAGCTTCAAGACTAGAGGGGCTAATATCTCCGTTACGAGTCCCATAGTACCATTAAAAGTATGAACCATACGGTTTCAGTTCCTCACTAATCACTACCTACGTATTAATTTGTTTTCCTACTATCTAATTAATATTATTATAATTTTGATCTGTTTTTTATTCTCCAAGGGCCAAGGGGTGTATTGTTTGGGCATTGCTAACAACAAAATCAACCCCCTTAATATTATTGGACGTAAGTATCCCGATTGTAATACACTCAATTATATGAGTAACAGTTGAGATCCATCAATGTGTATTAATAATTAATTATTCCCTATTTATGCATTAAATTTTTTTGTAGACAACTTTTTGACCGGTTATCGCATCATATTTGATCGGGAAAAGTTTGTTCTCGGATGGAAACCGTCTGATTGTAAGTAACATATACATATACATATATATAAATGTTCAAAGTTGTGAATTACTCGTAATATGTGTACGTACACCAATTCAACCAGAAATAAACTAATCCCTGTTTTATTTTCTTCATCAATTCTCAGGTAAATCGAAGGACGCTAACACTACTGCATCTAATTCTAATGCATCCGCCTTATCAGGAATGGAGAGCATACTATTTTTGTTCTTTGTTTATTTTTCATATTCACAAATTATGTGATTTGTCAAATTTGTTTACATTAGGCATGTAATTAAAAACCACTTGGTACTTAATCATATTAAAATCTAGAAATTATTTATGAATATGTTTTACTCGCGTACGCGTTAATTAAGACTCGTATTATAAACGGTCCGTCCCGATGTGAAATAAGCTTCGAGTAATAAATTCACCAAATTTATAAACGACGGAGTAATAAATTTTCAAAATTTTCTTATACTGCATCCATCAATTTTATACGGGTAGTTAAAATTAATACTCGGCAATGTATTAAACAAATATAATTTGATATGGAGAAAGATTAAAATAGGAGTAAAACATTAAAAATATACCAAAATAGAAGTTCTGTGTTTTTATTCTTGAAATAAGAGTTAAAATGTATTTGCAGTATCAATTATGATCATATAGATTATTAGATTCGGTTCCGTGCCACTGGGTTTCAGTGGCCACGAAAGCCACTGTCCCAATTCGAACACTGACGATCCTCTGTTTCTTAAACTGATAATTCCTATCACTCCTAACCCCCAATTTGCAATGTCAACTATGATCATATAGATTATGGGATCGGGACTGGGCATGAGGATTTACAGGGGGGTTAAGAGGGATACGAATAATCCATTTTACAAACGGATTATCGTATGAGCACAATGCATTCTGTGGCCACTGAATCCAGCCGTATTAAAATTATGATATTGATGTACACTTTTACATTATCACATTGTAAACTTTTATTTAGAAATAAAAATATCAAGATTTTATTTTGATATTTTTCTATGCTTACTCTTATGGTGATTTCTTAATTTGATACGATGTGCTTATAAGAAAAAGAGTATTCTATAAATTAATATATTTTCAAAATATTCTTATATTCCATACATCAATTTTTTACTAGTAGCTAAAATTAATACCCGGCAATCTATTAAACAAATATACGTAATTTGGTATGGAGAACTAAAATAAGAGTAAAACATTGAAAATATATCAAAACAGAAATTCTATATTTTTATTTTTGAAATAAAAATTAAAATGTATTTACAGTGTCAATTATTATCAAACAATTATACGCTTTGATTACAAATTATGAGAAAATTATATTGAATTATAATATAAACTTAATATAATTGGATTTATCTAATTAAGGATCTAATTTTGATATATCAAATTTTGATAACATTTTTTATTTAGATTATATTTAATTTATGGTGAAAACGTGTAATTATTTGAACAAAAATACATCAAAATGGATAATGTTTTGAGGGATGGAGGATCAGAAATACATTATTTGGCCTGGTTTCTTGGGCACAAAAGCAAATGTCCCGATTCAGACACCCGTGATTCTCATTTCGTAAAGTTGATGATATGAGTCCTACCCCTCCTAACTTCTCGATATCCATGCCCAGTCCCGACCTTAACTCATCCTTCGCTTACGTCAATTATACTCCGCAATTTTAGTTGACTTTGAGGTCAAAACTTTAGACTTTAAATTCAACTATACTTGGGAGTGTAATTGACGTAGGTGGGGATGAGGCTAGTTAAGGTCAGGAATGGACATGGGGGTTTACCAGGGAAGTTAGGAGGGGTAAGAATCATCAATTTTACGAACGGGCATCGTAAGAGCCGGGCCTTCCATGGCCACTGAAAAATCCGGGTAAATTTCACAAATGGTACCTGAACTTTAGCTGGAATTTCGAAGTGGTACCTGAACTTCAAATCCTTTCACAAAAATCCCTGAACTTACACAATCCTTTCACTAATGAGCCATTAGCCCGTTTCTAGGTTAACTTCCGGTCATTAGGGCCAAATTCGGATTTTATATATTTTAAAATTTTCAATTTGACCCCATTTCTTCTTTTCTTTTCTTCCACGCCCCGCCGCCGCCGCCCGCCGGTCAAAGTCGCCGGAAAATGAACTTTTTTCGATTCCGGCGGGACCAATGTCATTCTCTTCGTCTTGAGACGAGGATCAATAATATCCAAACCATTTTGTCTAATTTGGCTTGTAACTTCTCGAATCTGAATTTTTATACTCGAAAAAACCCTAAAATTCGAAATTGGATCCAAAATTGGGGGTTTTGCAAATCTTCATCAAATCTTGCAATTGAGGGGTCCTTGGAGGTCGCCCGGATGCCACGACCGCATTGGCGTTGGTGCCCGCCGTCAATTTCGCCGGAGTTGGCCGGAAAACGCTCCGACAATAAATATATATCACTTCCAATTTTTATTATGATGTGATGGGTAGATTATTAGAAAAAAAGTATGATGTGATAGGTAGGGTATGAAAAAGTAAGGGGTAAAAGTGGTTTTTAATAGAGATGTAACGAACTTTACGGGACGCAGTTTTTTGTAAACGTAACAAACTTTTTGGGACGGAGGGAGTAAAAAATAATGTTTGGGAATGACATATTGTAGAACTCACGTGTGATATATGATTTTAGATGAATTTATACTTGGATGTGTATGTGCTTAATGTGCATAGGGATCATTGGTGTATTATTTTTTAAAAAATTTAGGTATCATTAGTGTTATTTTTAAAGTTTGGGAAGAATTCGTGTGAATTTTGAAAAGAGAAATGTTTGGTTCACATACAAAATGTTCACAAAGCTCACAAATTTTATACTCCCTCTGTCTCAAAAAGATTGGTACATATTGAATTTTTGGGAAATTAAGGGAGAGATATTTCGGTGTTGACTTTCCAAAAATACTCTTGATTTGATGGGTAAAAATAGGATGTGATGGATAGATTATTAGGAAAAAGGTATGATGTGATAGGTACTGTATGAAAAAATAGGATAAAAGTGATTTTTAATAGAAATGTAACGGACTTTACGGGACGCAGTTTTTTTGAAACGTGTTGGATTTTTTGGGATGGAGGGAGTGTAACGCCACGAAAACTGGCTTAGTAGTTAGCCGACTGAGTCACCATGATTTACCTCCTCCACCATCTTTGTCGTCGAGCCATGAGGTGGGGGCGCCTGGGTGTGCGATTCTACCTTTTGGACCGACATACAATGATCTGACTTATGTTATAGTGTTATATGGTGTATGGCTGTATGCATTTTTACTTTATCAATTTACTAGCTTTAATTACTATTGCATCCATCCTACCCCTCGCTTCCATAAATTAAAACTCTTCTCCTTTTGTTTTCTTAATTCCTTAAAATATTTCCACTTTGTATTAAAAAATTACTTTTACCCATACTTTTTAATACCATACCTATCGCATCATACTTTTTCGCTAATAACCAGATCGACTATCACCTCTTACTTTTATAGTACATCACATCAAAGACCAAATTGAAAAGTCAACCAAAATTAAATATTTCTTATTTTTATCCAAAGTCAAAATGAGAAGGATTTAAAGGAACAGAGGGAGTATACTTTTCTTCCAATTTATTTTTTATTGGTTTCAATGTCATATGAGTATTTAATTTTAACTATTAATATATCTATTTATTTATAAATATATATACTCCCTCCGTCCCATAAAGTACGTGTTACCTATTTTGACTAAAATTAAAATTAAGGGAGAGTTAATTTTGTGTTGACTTTCCAAAAATACCCTTGATATGATGTGTAGATTATTATTAGGAAAAATGTATGATGTGATAGGTAGGGTTTGAAAAAGTAAGGGGTAAAAGTGGTTTTTTAATAGAAATGGGTAAGAGATTTTGGGATGCAATTTTTTTGAAACGTGTAAATCTTTTTGGGACGGAGGGAGTATTATAAAAATATGATATTTCATTCAAAACTAAGTTTTAGTATATTGAACCATTGGTATATTATAACTGAATATACTTTCTATAATGTGTGATCAATGTTTTCAAAAAAATTGACTACCAAGTTGAAGGGTTTTATGTAGTTTATGGAGTAGCTTTTTAGATGCATGCCATATTATATTGGTGGGAAAGGTACTGCATCCACGCAATATCCTTCTCAAGCATAAATGTGATGTCTTTAACGGGGGTTTTTTAATTAACAGCTTTTCAATAATACCAAATTAAGCAAAAGATTCCATGTGTGTCATCATATTAAATCCATAATATTTATATTTACACATGAATATATTTTATAAATATTTAATATTTCAAAATACATTTTAAAAATATCTATTTATATTATATTTTTATCATGACACGTTATTTTGTTTTTTACATATATTAAGGTCAACCTTTATATAGATGCGAAACCAAAAAAATTAAAATGGGAAAAAATTTTCAGGCAACAAAAGTACGAAATACTACGTAGCATTTTACTTTACTGAGTTTAAAAAGTATTTATTCTCATTTCTCTCCACAATTTATTCGCAAAATGCACTATCTCATTTTATATATGGTTGTCGTAGAATTCAACTCTAGTTCACAAACGACGCATCAGGAGCGGCCTTTGGAATTGTGTATGATGAGAAAGATATATTATCATTATGAAATTACATACTTAGCCCTTAAATTAAAACTAACATGATAGAAGATAAAAAATGACTATTTGTAAAAAGATATCCATAAAAGAAAAATCACTGATTTGATATTTGATAATAAAGAATTAATTAGGGAAACCTAATGTTATAAAGGATAAATTATTAAATTTATTTCAGAAAATGTTTTTAAAACGGGAGTGTAGAGGCACTTATGGTATTACCTGCGAAAATTAGAAAACGATTAAATATAAAGTTTGGCGATATAAATTTCATGGCAGGAAATAAAACCTTAAATATTGGGCCATGCATAATGATGGAAATAATATAAACCAAACGTTTGATAATATACTCCGTATCAAACGTATGATTGGCTATTTAATAAACTCCAACACTATTTATACAAAGAGTCATGTACAACCCTATTTATAATATGAATTAGCTTAGCATCAAGAAGAGCACACAGTCAACACAACAACTAAAAGACATAAAAAGCCCAAAATATGAGTGGGTTACTGGGCAGGTTTGGATCCAATGGATTGAGTTTCATGGGTACCATATGCATTATTATGACGATAGGGCTTGCACTTGGTAAGGACACTATACTTATATCCCGTAATTCCCATTGATGTAATATTAAAAAGTGGGGAAAAAAAACAATTTACGAATCGTGTATGGTTTTTCTTTTATTTGGCCAAGTTTTATTTATTAATTCCAACTTTGTGTTACATTTTTTCAGAAGGTGGGATTGGAATTGCGGAGGAAAATGTGTTAATAAACGCCTCTCCCCTGCAGTACTACCATTTCATGTCGTGAAATGAAAGACTGTATCGACGTTTGTAAGGATCACGGCGGTGGACTCTGTGTTCACTTTGATAATGATCCGCTGGGTTATTGTTGTTGTGATGAAAAGTAAGACATGTCATTAATTAGTTTATCCAAGTAACCAGGAGTATACATACTACTATGGTTCGTGTGGGAATAATCTTTATCGCAAGAAATGAGAATTTTTATGAATCTTAGATCTTAAATTTAATGAATCATACACATTTTCAAGAGAAGAAATCAAATTCAAGAACAAATCACATGTTAATAAATATATCGTCTCAATCAAGCGTGGAATTGTAATAAGAAAAAATTATCTTAAATAATCTGACATTTTTACGGTTGTCAAAAATAATATCACATTTTACTGTCACCCGAATTAATCTCACTTTTTTGCATGAGTATGAGTTTTGGGCCATCGTTAAAAACTAACGACCACTTAATGGAATTTTTGGAAAATATGTATTTTCGAAAATAAATAAAAATTTGGATTATTTTAGGTAAATTTATTTTTTTATTTTTTTATTTTTTTATTTTTGATTTCAGATGTTTTCAGAAATATAAGAGTACACTCTACACTCGTGAAAGAAATTTGTCTCAACTTTTTTAAAATGTAACAATTTTAAATATTTTTTTGTTCTAGGGAAATTATAATATTGAATTATTGAAAATATACATATATGGACATGTGATTGAGCTAAGATAAAAAGCACTCATATTGTGCACAAGTATATATTATGCTTCCCGCCAACATATAAGTTGGCAATGACATGTACTACTTTTGTCTCGCTATATTTGTTAACTTTTGATTTTTGGAACTGTTCATTTAAGAACTTTGACTTATCAAATTCTCTCAATGTGTCAGCTTAAATATAGTCATGTGTGATTTTGTTTGATTTGTCTTACCATATAGATTATTAATATATAATTTCTATAATTTTTTGATATACAAATTACAAAATAAAATGGATTAAAGAAGTACATTGGATGGTGTGTAAAAATGAAAGTGGGGATAAGAGAGTAAGTAAGATTATTTCAATCAGCCTTTTTATCACGCAGTACCAAAGTACCCGTTTCTAAATAAACTTCCATTTTTGACATTTTGAAGATTTAAGAGAAGGATATATATTTGATATGATGTGTAAAAGTAGGATATGATAGATAGATTATTACTCCGTACTAAAAAGGTATGATATGATAAGTATGGTGTGAAAAAGTAAGGGGTAAAAGGGGTTTTTTAATGGAAAAAAAGACATTTATTTAGGGACAAAAAAACGTAAGAAGAAGTTTATTTAGGAACAGAGGAGTATAAATTATGTCTTACTTATAGTTTTCCTTTTACATTAAATTAGTTTATGTTTTTTAATTATTTTTCTCTAAAAAAAGTAAAAGAAAAAAATTTGTACAAACAAAAAAATTCTTTTTAAATTTTTAAAATGTTTCATATGGAGAAATTTTATTAAAAAGAGTAAGGAAGAAAAAAAGTTTTAAACGAAGAAAGAAAAAAAGCTAAAAAAATTAAATGTGCTTGAACAGACAAAAACCCAATTAGTCATGAAATTTAAAAATTAAAAATAGATTATTTTTGGTAATTAAAATTAAAAGTTTATTTTAATTAAAAATACCTAATTATTAAAGAACTAGTATCACACCCGCGCGTTGCACTGGTCATATTTATGTTACTAAATAAAAAATTTTCTTCAACGGCCATATTTAAAAGTGCACTTGAAAGAAACTAATTACGAAAATCCTTGCAAATGATCGCATTTATACTATGAAAAGTTTTTGGCTTATTCTATTTTCCTTTTTCAAAATTTTTATTTTTAAAATTACAATGTAATGTACGGAGTAATATTTTTGGCCAAATTACATGGTTGGTGTTACTTACCATTTTAACATTCCTTTTTTAATTTAAATTTTTAATTATCAACGTGTATTTATGATTCTTTCTTACCAAACCGTATATAAGAAAAACACTTTATTTAAAATACCTAAAAAGTATAAATGAAAATACAACTGTAATTTTAATTTGGATACTTTAAGATGTGAGAATATTTTTTTGTTCAAGGCAACGTTTTTTTTAAAGATAGTAATTTTTTATACATGGTACCCGCAAAAAAGAAACATACAGTAGCTTTTTTAATAATATTATTACATTGATTATAATGAAGTTACCTTATTTAAAATACGTATAAAGTAAAAAAAGGAAAGATAATTATTTTTTGAAGTTACTCTAAATTTTTAATTATCAATGTGTATTTATGATTCATTCTTACCAAAGTCGTGCATTAAGAAATCACTTTATTTAAAATAACAAAAAAGTATAAATGCAAACACAACTGCAATTTTAATTTCGATACTTTAAGGTATGATACTCCGTAATATTTTTTTCAAGGCAATGCTTTCATGTTTTTTTCCAAAGACGGTAATATTTTATAAATGGTAATCATGTAAAAGGAACCTACCTTTATTATTATCATTATTATTATTATCATCATCATTATTATTATAATACAGTAATATTTTTATTATTATAAAATTGTTTGCTTAGGTTAGCAATTATTATTATTGTTAATTTTTTTTATAGAAACCAAGAATGGCACTGCAACACTTAATTACCATTGATTAAATTAAAATGGAAACATATTAATTAGTAATTAATAGAAATTAAATTAAACCAAAAAAGGCAAGTAATACTTACCATGTAAGGAGTTATACGAAACATAGCATTCAATAGTATCCATATATGCTTCACATGTATTGAGGCAAGATAATTAAAGTACTAAACAGTTTCCATATATTAACATCGCGTATGGGCGGGAAAAAGTTTCCCTCGCTTTAAGTATAGTATAGATTTTGAAAAATAAAGGTACCTGGCAGTTCTTACAATAAAATATGGGGTACCCGGCAACAGTTTTTTGGGTTTTCTCCATTAGTTTGATTTTGTTATAAAAACATTTGGCAAAAATCTAACCGTGTGTTTGGATGGAGAGGGGGTGAGGTAGAATAAGGTAAGATTAAACTTACCTTGTTTGGGTGAGGAAATAGGGATAGGTAAATGGAGGCGAGAGAAGGTAAAGTAATCGCGTAAAAGTGGAATAACTCCGTCCGCCGATTGTGCGGACAGCTGAGGTAAAATTTACGTTTCCTTCTCTTTTCTTCTCTTCCACGGTCCTTCTTCTTCTTTTTCTTTTCTTCTTCTTCTTCTCCTCCTCCCATCCAGTTTTCTTTTTGTCATTTATTTTTTGATATATATCTGTTTTTATTTGCTACTTGTTAAAATCAAATCTTTGAAATTGTTGCAAAATAATTTTTTTTTGTATTTTTACCAATTAAATAATTTTCTAAATTAATATACAATAAGTTTTAATTACCTACGTGATCTTTTATAATTGAGATTTATTCTTACATTTTCTGGATTCTTGAACAACATACAAGCATTTGGTGTCCCAAATCATGAACTGAAGTTGAATGTTGGAACACCGATTATGTTGTTGAGAAATATTGATTAATCATCAGATCTGTGCAATGAAACAATATTGATTGATAGTAACTTGCCTTGGTAATCATCTTATTCAAGGCACAGTGATGACATGAAAAAATATCAGCCTAGAAGTTGTTATCTCACAATTGTCGCTCACACTGTCAAATACAAGAATTCCTTTTAGATTTCGAAAGAAACAATTCCCGATCATGACTTCATACGCAATGACAATTAACAAAAATCAAGGCTGATCATTGTCACATTTTGGGTTGCTACTCAAGAAATTGGTATTCAGTAATGATCAGTTCTATGTTGCAATTTCACGTGTCACAAGTCGCGAGGGATTAAAGATATTGATTTGCAATAAAGACCTTCCGTCAAAAACCCAAACTACGAACATAGTTTATAAAGAAGTGTTCCAAAACTTATAACAGTGCATATCGACGACAGTCATTTTGTAATGAACATTATTTTGGGCAATTTTAATAAAATTTGTAATCTTTTGATTCTTGTATCATTTTATATGTTATGCCAACTCAACACTAAATTAAATATAAGCCCAAGTCCAACAGTGAAGGTTAAAATTACCTGCCTGTTGTATAGTTATAATAAAAATAGGATTTCCACCCATTGAAATCGTCTATCTTCTTTCAGAGCCTCTCCATCTTCTCCCTTCTTCTTCCGTCGTCGTCTCATTCGATTCAATTCAATTCAATGGCGGGCTGGCTTTTTGCTCTTGCTATTATGGCGCGATATGGTACGCAAAGCTCTCTCTCTCTCTCTCTCTTTATATTTTTTTCTTCAATAATCGTATATCTGAGTAAAACGGAACCCTAAATGAGTTTTTATGCGTGTGGTGGGGGTGGCGGTGGCTGGGGACCTAACATTTGAATGCGATGATTAGAATCTCTTCTAATTCGAGGTGGCGAATTAGAACCCCCGATTTTATTAAATACACATCGGAGAGGATACCAAACGATTGCACATGATACAAAACATATATACACAAAAATACTGACTAAGATTCATAAGAGTTGAATTTTAATGATTATACCCCCTGATTCAATTTCCATTTTTTTTTTAATTTTTTATTTTCTGAGATAAAATGTTGTAATTTGATTGAATTGAACAGAGGCCTCATTGATGTTTGTTTGTTTTTGTTCTTGGTAGAGATGTCTAAGAGTAAAGCTGCATACCAAGTTTATGCTAAAAGTTGTCCTTATGTTCAAGCTCGTGCTTATTATGCTCAAGCTCAGGCTGCTGTTCAAGGTAAAAACTGCTCAATCTGGGGTATTGTCTTGTTTAGCTGTTAGTGTTCAATATGTATTCAGAACAAAAGAAAGGGATGGTTTGAGTCTTGATTATTATTCAGATAAAAAGTGGACTGCGGTCTTGTTTAGTCTTCAACGTCTATTGGTGCATATATTCTTGATAATCTTGAAAAAGATGATCAAGTATTTAATGGTATATAAGACTGGAATAGGAAGGTGCGGTGTACACTCCATCCCGGTCAGTCGGTCACAACATGATAATTGCGCTGGATAGTTGATTGTCATCTGATTTTGCTAACGTATTGAATCGTCCCTAGTAGTTTACTGATTTTAGAAAATGCAAGTTTTTCTCATCGTTTGTGTTTATTTCCATGCTAGCTGATTTTCTTATCTAGTTGAGTTCATTGATATTGAATCTCTTCTATCATATAGCAATATTAGCACCAACCAGTGGATACAATTATTTAGACATCACTTTATATCCATGTTCCGTCCCTCTGCTCAGCTATGCGTACTAAAGCTCAAGGGAAAGACCGATCCGCGGTTGCTGCTCCAACCTCACCCCCCTGCCAGTCTTGATGTTGCTTGCCGGTCTCATGTCAAGTCAGCTAGCTGGATATTTTCCAACACTTTTCCCGCCTCTATTTGGATGTCGTTGGTAAACATTAACCTTTGAAACCTTAGTTTTTCACGGGCCAATCACAGGCGCGTTGTATAGGCAGACATTTGCGTCCATTTAGTAGTATGCTCTTGGGTCACGGTAAAGGGTATATCCTGTGAGTCACAAGGCTCTCACCTCTTTGCACCTCCCGATTTGAAATGGGACTTTATCTTCTAATACTCTATAGGCCCACACCCCACGCGTCTTGGCTTTCAGCCCTATAAGGCCATGACGCGGCTCGCACCTTTAAAAACTTCGTGGCTTGAGTACTTATCAAATGCATTTACCTCTTCTTTTCATTGCAGTGCGTGGTTGTGCAGAGTGATCTAAGTCCCCTTGAAATGGGCCGTGTTGGGTTGTTATGTACAAGTCGCCTTTTCCTTATGTGAACTTTACTAGAGTCAACTTGATGGATTATTTTGTGTGATATTGAGAGCTTGTTAATGTTACGACTTTATTATTAAGAGTGGTCAAAGTAGGTTTGAACTGTCAATATGATGATCAATTTACATGTTTCCTAAGTTCGAATTAGATGTTCATTTTTAGTTAATATTCAATAATTGGTGTGAAACTAAAAATCTTGTTGAGATAAACTCTAGATCTATTATGTCAAATTTTTCAAATGAGTCCATGTACTCAAAATGGCATAAAACACAAAATTCTCTAACGCACCAACATTTTGTGTTAGTGTGTATCATCAAAGTACCTTTTTTGTAAGTTTGGGGTACAATTTTTAGTGTAAGTGTGTCATGGTCCAAATTTAAATACTTCGACTTTTTTCGTTAAACTGTATCAATTTGGACAAAAAAAATATGGACAATGTATTTTTTATTTTACTCCCTTCGCCCGTAAAAGATTTCCACTGTTTCATTTTTTTGTCAAACAGTGATAATCTTTGAACACGAATTAAATATAGTTGAAAATCATTTAATATTATAAAAAATTGATAATTCAAAACTATATTTTAATAATTCTACTAAATTTATCTCACACGAATCAACTTATTGTGTTGCTGTGTTGCTGATTGGATAAATTTGCGTCGTCAATTATCATCTCCATCCGATTTTAATTTGGATCTATGTCCGTCATCGTTTTTTAATTGATGCCTCTTGTGGTTTTCAGATTTATCACACACAAACCAATGTGTTGTGTTGATGTGTTGTTGATTGGATGAATTTGCGTCGTCAAACATCCTCTACATCCGATTTTAATTTGGATCTATGTTCATCATCGTTTTTTAATTGATGTTCTTGTGGTTTTCGGATTTATCACACACGAACCAACTTGTTGTGTTGGTGTGTTGTTGATTGGATGAATTTGCGTCGTCAAACATCCTCTCCGTCCGATTTTAATTTAGATCCATGTTAATCATAATTATATTAATTCTGTCACCCATCACCACAAGAGCATCAATTAAAAAACGATGACGAACATAGATCCAAATTAAAATCGGACGGAGAGGATGTCTGACGACGCAAATTCATCCAATCAACAACACATCAACACAACAAGTTGGTTCGTGTGTGATAAATCCGAAGACCACAAGAACATCAATTAAAAAACGATGACGAACATAGATCCAAATTAAAATCGGAAGGAGAGGATGTTTGACGACGCAAATTTATCCAATCAACAACACATCAACACAACAAGTTGGTTCGTGTGTGATAAATCCGAAAACCACAAGANTGACGACGCAAATTCATCCAATCGACAACACATCAAATTGTTTAGGGCACAAAAAAAGATTATTCGTAAAAACCACAAAAACATCAATTAAAAAATTATGAAGAACTTGATCCAAATGAAAGTTGAATCAAACGGATTGAAGTATAAATAAAGATAAATACAGGGCAAAGGTTGAAGAGGATGCATTATTCGGAAACCGAAAGGACAAGACTCTACAGAGAGAGAAAGAGAGAGAAGTACGAGAGTCTGACAGTCGATATCTATCTCTCTTTGAATAGTACACGACCCTAGGTTTTCTTTTCATCCAACGGTCTATAATAAAACTTTAGCATCTACGGCTCACATTCTTTCCTTTTATTACCGAATAAAGTAATTTCCCCAGCAGTTACACCTTTCCGTACAAGCATACCTGGCAACTTTCAAATCTTTACAAATTTTTACCACCATTTAAACAAAATTTCTTAAATCCATACTTTATTTAAAATGACATTGAGTGTTTTCTCGCCCAAATAGTATGACCATTACATATGGTAATGTGATATTATAATGGTAACTGTCCGAAATTATAGTAATAACCAAAAATGTAATAATTATTACTCTGGATATTTATTACCTATATAAATGGTAAGTGTTCGAAATTATAGTGTCTAATTTTAGTCCGTGCACGAACTTTTAAAAAGGTAATTTATAACAAATATTTATAAAATAGGCAAAAAATTATTTGTAAAAAATATCTATAAAAATTATTTAAAAACGTGTGTGCGATTATTCTTACCACTGTTACATAATTGCGGAGTATATGATTACCGCGTGACTAGTTATATAAAAAAATGTGTGTATGATGTATAGTATAATCATGTTAAGAATAATTATACACACAGTTTTGAAAAAAAATTAATACGGTAAAACCCTTTAAATATATACCGAGTATATATTTATATTTATGAGTGTATTTCACCTAGTACCGGTCAAGGAGAGGCTTTCAAATAATTGACCAGTCAAGACTTGTTTTCTAGGATGGAAGCCTAAACAGTATATAGTAGGATCCTATCCATGAGACTTGTACTAGATCCTAGGGGTGAACAAGCACTGAACCGATATCAAAATTTTTTGAAAAAACCGAGAATACCGAACCGAAAAATACCAAACAGAAAATATATCGAAAAGAAACCGAACCATACCCAACCGAATGGTTCGTACAGTATTCGGAAACGGTACGAGGTGACGTCTCATACCGAAAATCCTGTGCCGAATATATATTCTAAAATATTACTACCCCCGTCACATTGTCTTTGTCCAGTTTTGACTTTTTGAACTGTTCATCTAAACACTTTGACTCATCAAATTTTCTCAATGTGTAAGCCTAAAAATAGTCATATGTGATCTTGTTTGATTCGTCTTAACATATAGATTGTTAATATATAATTTGTATACTTTTTTAATATACAAATTACAAGATAAAATGGATTAAAGAAGTGCACTGGATGGTGTGCCAAAAGGTAAGTGGACAAAGACAGTGGGACAGAGGGAGTATAAAATATACATCAATTTCATATTTAAGTTTTCAAATTATATCTAATATTTAAAATAAAATTTTAATTACTCCGTACAACTTAGTTTGTGGTTTGTTTTCTTTATGTTGAAGGCATATTTTCAAGTGTCGTTCCATTATTAATAAAATTTTATGATTTATAGAATTTTATTCTATTATGTCATCAATGCTTTCATGACTTTGTTCTAGCTTAAACCATGTTCTACACCATATGCTTTTTGATAAAAAAAAAATTTGAGATATAAGCTAATCTTTGGAATATCTCTATAAATCTGTCTAAAGTACATATGTTATTGAATATTTTAAGATTTTGACAGATTTCTCCCAATAAATGTGTTAGTTTTTTGAAAACTATTTGGTAAATGCTATTTTGATGGCAATTTCTCAAAAATTGATAAGAAAAAACTATTGAAAACTTTCAATTACAGCAACGCAAGATTGAGATCTTGATGGAGCTCTAGAATAGGAAATGTTAATGAAAATTAGTATATTTTGGTTTCATACCTTAATTGTTTTATTTAGAAGTAACTATTGTTGAAGAATAGGGGAAAACATTTATTCACTTCATCCTAGAAAACAATTACTGTCCATAAC